GGTCTGTGTGCTATCTGCATTTACACCACCCCCAAACCAAAAGAACTGTTCTTCACATGAGCCATTTCAAGGCCTTAGGACATTTTTTTTCTGAGGTAAACGGTTCAATGGTAAGGCTTATAACAGTCCATGAGAGAATCTGAAGTATCTCTGAGGTTCTTGCTCCTCAGAGATAGGAAGGGAAATGTTAATCATGTCCTCTTAACCACAGTCTGATTAATTAACCCAAGGAACACTAAAGGGTTTCAAAACTCTCTCTTCCTCAACAAGGTGATCCCATGCCAAGATTAAGTGAAGGACTTGTCCTGTACTTCTTTATCTTTGGAAAATCAAAGAATTGGGCTCCTGGCTTTGAGGAAAGTATGTAATAGAGAAATTAATGTCAAGTAATGTTTTCTTCCTTAGCCTCAAATTTATTCTCAAAAATAAATTATTCTGTGGGTCCTGTGGAGGAAGCTGTAATATTTGCAAGGTTCACCCCAAGCCTTAAAATCAAATTGTTAGCCATGTTCAGAACTCTGCATCCATATAAAATCTTGAGTCATGCTCAGCTCCTAGTGAACATATAAGTCTTATTGGTAGCAATATGGAAGCAGTTTGCCATTTCCTTTTTCTAGGATGTTTTTGCCCTCTCAGTCTAGCCTATAGCCCTAGGACTTCTGTTCTTCCCCATCCAAGTACCAACCAGGTCTGACCCTGTTTAGCTTTTCTGGGATCTAGGTCAGCTATGTGTTGCCACTTGCTGAGGTTCTTAGATTAATACATGGCTATGTTATTTCATCAGCAATACGATGGAGGTGAAGATAGAAGACACATAAAATCTTGGCCAACGGTGATAACATTTATTGCATAAACAATCATTGCTAAATACCTTAACAACATCACCACTATGAGGAGAGGAGGAGTTGGAACAATAAAAGAAAATGATGATCTCTATGATACTACATTTTAAATAGTGCAGAACTATTAAGTGGAAAGGTGAAACTGACTAGAAAAGAACCATTCTAGATTAGATCAATACCACAATAGCCAGTGGCTTAGATACACTGATCCATGCAGAGTGCTTGGTGCTCTCTGAGCTTGGTTGTTTGCTCTCAGACATTTCATTACCCAGCTAGAAAAACACTGTCAGCCTGATGATGATATCTACTAGGGTAATGAAATGTCTGCAAGCAAACAACCAAGCTCAGACAGCATCAAAAATCCAAGGTTCAACCACAAGTTATATATATTCTCTTCTGTTAGAACTGGTCCATGTGGCTTGTAGGTTGAAAGACAAAATTAATTAGCCTTATTTGCTTTTTTCCTATATATTATATTGGGGGAGACGTTAAATTAAAAGTTGAGACTAGCAGCTTTGATCTAGGCTTCTTGCCCATCGACAATACCACAGAGGAGTCCTGAAAACAAATCCCAAAATCTTTCCCCTGAAAACAGTTATTAAGTGGTTCATAAATAAGCAGATGGTGAAAGAGAAATGTGTTGACTGGTGTGTTAGAAATACCACACATTTGTAGGGATATGCTTTCTAATTTCAATTTGTGCCCTGTGGAAGGATATGAACTTGCTGTGAGAAAACAGAACATATTTTACCTGTCAATGCTGTCTAAGCAGGTGGCTAAACATGTGGCTGTTGAATTCCTGTGATCCTATAGATATGATGTCACTAACTAAATAAAAACAAAGAGGATAATTGCCTTCTGAGTACATATTTTCTAACTGATGTTCTCTGCATGAATGCAAAATAAACCTATAATTCAGAAACCTAATGTTAAGCACATGTCTCGTATATCACATGCCAACATGTAGGAATCAGTAAGGAAGTATGCATTAAAATTAAGGATTCATTTAAAGAGTTAATGACATATGTAGGCACACTGAAAACGTAAATTACTTTTAAGCCATGGATTAACTTCCATACCCTTAATTCTACTTCTTATGAACAGATTTTAAATACAAAATCGTTGATTTTCCATGGAAGAGCAAAAAGAATCAATGGAAAAAACTGGTTTTAACACTGAGAAAAAAGTGAAATACTTGGGTATTACTATGACTAATATGAAATGTATGTTATTTCAGAACAATTATATTAAAGACATGGAATGAAATTAGGAAGGATATGCTAAGATGGAAGGAATTACAATTATCATTGTTGGGGATAATTTCTGTGATAAAAATGAATGTATTGCCTAGAACGATGTTTATGTTTCAAACAATACCTATCTGACATTTTGATGTACCATTTAAGCAATGGCAGAAAGATATATCTAGGTTTGTATGGCAAGGGAAAAACCCAAGGGTTAAATATAAAATGCTCCAAGATGCAAAGGAACGAGGACAATTCTGCCTGATTTGAAATTGTATTTTGAAGCTTGCTGCTTAGTCTTGATGAAAGAGTGGGTTTTGCTGAGAAATAAGGGAATTTGAGAATTAGAAGGATATGATCTGAGTTTTAGATGGCATGTTTTTCTATGGTACAATAAAGATAAGGTTAACGCAGCTTTTGAAAATCATTGTATTAGAAGTGACATGTTGAGAATATGGAATAGATATAAACCCAGAATTTAGCAACCTTCATAGAAATCTCAGTAGTTCGATCTGCTAATGGAAAGAACACAACGTCCATTTCGGGCCAACCTTCATTTAGTAAGGAGGAGAAACATTAATTCAGTATGTCAAGTGTGGTAAAAAGGGCAACACAGCAAGGTGCAAAACTGTTGATGGCCTTGCCTGACAATGGACAAGTTGTTCTGAATGTGGGATGTTGCTGAATCTCCACTCTAATGTCTCTGAAGATATGGCATTAAACCTGACTAGTATAAATTTTGTTCTATATGAGATGGGGAGAAGGTAGGAAAAATAATTAGAAACAGTGGAAAGTCTACAACAGAGGCCCCCTGTCAAGTCCACAATGTCCAAAACCCAATTCAGAAGCATTCTCATGCAACCAGGCTTGGTT